TATTTCATTTTCTATTAAGTGTATATGGGCAACTGTTTTTCTATTGAGTGTATGGTGCTTTGTGTACTTAAACAACTTTCATTTGAAGATAGAACTTACTAATTTTTACTAGGCAATTTTAGACTGTAAACCCAACATAACAAGAGGCGGACTTAAAACCCCAATGTCTGTATTAACTAAATATTAACTTACTATTGAAAAAGAATAAGAGAATAAAAGACTACAAGCCGATTTATACAATATTGATTTTAAGGTTTTCTTGCGTTTTTCGACTGAATATTTCTTTTTCTATTAAGCGTAAACTGGCAACCTTTTTATTTGATGTATAGTGCTTAAGCACCTTTCATTTGAAGATAGAACTTACTAACTTTTTGTAAGCAATTTCAAACTGTAAACCCAACATGTTAAAAAAAAGAAAAATATTAAAATCCGCTTCCGAGGCGGACTTGAAACCCCACCGCCCCGATTCCACCAGCTACTCGTGACCTCCCCGGGCTGCTCGCAGCCCGGGGCAACCAAGCGAAAGCTAGTCCAATTTATAAAAGTTAAATTAAAATCACCAATTACAATCAAGTTGCCAATATGATTCATAATATTATCTAGATTGTTAAAAAAACACGTCTGAGTTTCCAAATTGGGTGGGGATGGTAAGTATACTGCGCAAAGAGAGAAAGTATACAAGCCATTTCTTTGAAATTTTATGTTCAACCAGAGATCTTCGCAATTAGATTCCCAGTTCGACATTCTAATAGAGGATATATCTCGAGACACTGCTATTGATACCCTGCTATGCGCCACCGTCGCAACCCCGCCACCGTCGCCGAATAATTTCATTAAACAGGAATAATTTTTTATCACCATCCATATTTAAATATATTTAAATTCTTGGCATTTCGGTCACTAACACTCTTCTTAAAATATCTTACAGTTGGATTCACTAGACAGCGATATCTATGTCACGAAGGAAGTAGCACCATAGCATATCAATACCAACTCATATGCGTTAACAGAAGCGCAACTTCGTACGCCAACTAGCAGTGAGTAGCTAAATTAAGATAATAGCAAGTAGCCGCATTAAGTAGAAATTTCTGGTTGTGTTTAGCACTTTCTATAGTTTGATAGTGAGTTCAAGAAAGTATTAGAAATAGCTAGATTGGTAGCGGGATTTGGTATAAAAGAAGTGACAAATGGGAAGCGATCAAGAGAGCCAAATAAGTGAATGAAAGTAAAAGTTAACGTTGAAATTAAGTGAAACTACATGCTGTTATTTTATTAGGCGAAACATGGAGAAATTTAAAGATATCAGATAATTTTTCAAAAAACCGGAACTATTATAGATTGATAATGAAAATTTGACAAAACTGGGTACAATTATTGGAAAAAACTTGGAGAAAGTTTAAAAAAACATGCCGAGTGGTCATCTCGTGTTGAGAGTTCACAAAAATTTAACAAACTGCTATCAAAACCCGGGATCTCTATCAGCAAGTAATTAACCAACAAGAACAAGAAGTTATTCGAAATAAAGAATACTTAATGAAACTCACTGACATCAAACTTACTCTTGTCAGTGTTTGCTTTTCATGGAGCATAAAAAAGACAATCGTCCAAAAATAGGGAAATTTTTTGGAAATTTCACAACTGATTTCCAAGTACGACAAAAAATTTGCATGCATTTTGAGAAACATTTAAACTATTGCAAACCAGATATTCAAAGCGAAATCATTGAATCTATAGAATGCCTAACCAGAGAACAAATTGTAAAAGAAGTAACAGCATGTGGGTTTTTTCGCCTTTAGTGTAGATGAGACGAGATGTACAAAGAGGAGCAATTGTCAATTACAATCAGATACGTAATCGACCTAAATGTGGTTGAAAGACTTATCGGTTTTGTTAATTGTTCAACATCCAGAAATGCGAAAGGATTGGCAACGCTGATTTTCGAAACACTGAATAAAAGCCAACGGGGCGATGTTTCAATTCTTGCTCAATCTTATGACTGGGCTAGCATCATGTCTGGCAAAAAAATAGGTTAGCAGGCGATAATTATAATTAGCGCATAAATGAAATCTGGTGGTTGTGGATTCCTGCGCTAACGTTGCCTTAGCAAAGATTTTTTTAAATCAAATGAATGTTTATACATTCATTTTTCGTAACCCGGACATCATGATAGCCTTGCTAAGATACAAGGATGTCTCGGAATCAATACCAGCCGCGAAAGAGGGAGTCTGAGTACTACGAGATGGAGTTGTGCTTGGAAAAAATCAGTACTCACCAATTTCGAGTTCATCAAAATGGCTTCGAAAGAAGAAGTCCAGGAGAGTGGTGATAAAAAGTCGTGGAGAGTTGTGATAGTCGATAGATATGTGTGTATCGTATACCAGATTCGAAACTAGAAACATTTTAATCAAATTAGAATTACTGATGAAAAAACTTAGATACAAAACTCAACATAAAATTATAATTTTAAGTGATTTTAATATCAACATATTAAAATCTTCAAATACATCAAATGAATTAAAAAGAATAGCCCAAAATTTTAATTATGCATTACATATCACTGAACCTACACGAAAGCATGCTTGTATAGATCACATATTAAGCAATATAAAAAACGCAAAAGGGAGTCTTCACAATTTGGGAATGTCAGACCACAACACAACACATAAATCGCTTATATTTGAGAACAAAAATATGGAAAGACTCTCTGAAATATGGCACGTCTACAATCGTGACTTCAACAGGGAAAATATAGAAAAATTCTGATCATGTTTGAATGCCTTATCTTGGTCAAAAACCATCGCGGAAACAAACTTAAATGCTGCTTTTCATAAATCTCATAGCAATGTCAAACTATTTTATGAATTTCAGTTTGCTTTCCCATTTTAAGATACAAATATACGAGTTGTGAAAAGCCACTTCGGTTCACGACTGGGTTAAAAAATCGACCTCAAGTAAACAAAATCTATGTTTTTTGTATTATAAGCACCGTACGTACGAAAATAAAATCAAATATCCATATATACAAGGTTGTTCGGTTTCAAAATGCTTTACAGACAAAGTATTGAATACGGTAACACAACTTTACTCATCCGCCTACCTACCTTTCCCTAACTTGGACAAATATAATATAATCGAGGGTAGACAGACAGTCCCTGAGAGCTGTCTGTTGCAACTCCGCCGCCATAGCGAATGGTCGACCCCGGAAGGTCCCATTCCAACTAAATCTTGAAGCGCGAAAGTGAATACAGCAAATACCTAGAAAATCAACGCAGGAGACTTACGACCAGCGGCTTTATACCCTGGGCTATCGAAGAAACTAAAAGTAAGTCCAAACTTCTTTCTATTCCACACAAAGGTAATTAAAGAAGTGTATTTCCTAGTCCCAAAGATTAACAAATAGCAAGTATATTAAAAAAGCAAAAACAAAATGAGAGCGACATGGCAAATTATAAAAAATAAAAATTGACAAATAAAAAAATATAATAATGCAATTAATTAAGGATATGACTAATGACATAACAAAACCAAAGGACATTGCAAACTAATTTAATGGTTATTTTATAAATCTGACATGTAATAAAAATAATCATAAACTTGACCATTCATTGTTAAACAATATTAATATAAATCACTGTAGTATATTTCTGTATTCAACTAACATATTTGAAATTAATAAGATAATTGTTTTCTAAATTCTATAAGCTCTACAGGATATGATGACATATCCCCAAACATCATTAAATTACTGAAAGTAAACTACATTATACTTAACATTAAATATGAAATTTTTAAATTTAATTATTGATTAATGTATTGTAATGATACAAATATGTACTTGTTTAGATTAATTAATGTTTTATAAATTACTTTGCTAGCCCACAAATAGGTGAATATGTCAATTGGAAACCTTTTAACCTATAAGATCTTACTGTACCACATTCTTGCGAAATAAATTATTATTATTATTATAATATACTATTTATTTGATTTACCTTATTGTTGGTAGGAGCTCATGTCAGTGTATACCTAGCTATATTAGCGACAACAACTACATAGTTTTGGTTACGGCACAAATAAAGCAATAGTATAATAGTACAGGATAACTGAAATCTTTAGATGATTTGTTAGATAGCCTACAATAGTTGAACATGCGCTACCAGTGACCACCAGTGTTGCCAACCCCAAGAAACTAGAAAAGAACAGCTCACAAATAAAAAATTAACAGGAAACAGTAGATTAAGTAAAAAAAGGTATATTTGATACTGTACTTATATAATTAAAATAATCACATACTTTGATTGGTTATCAGCAGAGGTCAGAATTAGGCAGAGTTATTTATGTACTTGCATCGAAATGTTGATATTAATGTGGACCTTCCTGGGATTTCTATTGGACAATCTTGGACATCTTTGGACATCCGATGTCATTGATGTAAGTTTGGCAACGTCGTGCGTGCAGTAGTTTAAATTGTGTAAAAGTAAATAACTTTTACACAATTTAAACTACTGCATTATTTGAAAAATCAAAGGATTTTTTCTGCTCTTTAAAATTAATCTCGGGATTTGAGGAATATCCACTTTATTCTTTCGCTGTATGAAATCAGTGTAAGTACATGAATAACTCTACCTAATTCCGACCACTGGTTATCAGTTATAAAAAATATTCCATTCCATCTTTTCTGTGTGCTGTGGTCGGGAATTTCTTTGAAGCCCGATAAGAGTAGCTAGTGCCGTCTAATAGTCTTTGCATTTTATTACACGGTGGTTAACAAAAATATTTGCATAGTGTGTGTGTAATAGGTGGCGTTATAAGCTCACTGAATAACAGTAAAAATTAGGAAGGAAACAGAAAATAGGGGAGCATCAATGTGAACAGCAAATCTACTGTTAAAACTGATGGGTTGGTAATACTGGTGACCACCTTGCCATGGCTGGCCGATTCATGGCTGGGACCATGCCGCCCCTAGGAAAAATCCATAGAAATTAAATCTTCTAAATTACCTTTCATCTAATTCACCTCTTATATAAGGCAATGCTCCAAACAAGTCAAGGACAACAATCCGAAAAACAACGAATTGGCCTTCTTCAATACTTGCTCCAATCCATTTACTTCCTGGTTCTTCAGTAGGCCGAGGTATAACAACATTGAATACTCTGAAAATATTTAAGAGATCCACTAAATGTATGCTGGTGCCAATAAATCTCTTAAAAACTAAATGAAGTAATCTAACCTACTTAGCCAAAATATGGTAGTGTGTAGCTGGCTTAAAATCTTTTGATTGTAAAAAATATTCAATTTCATCTCAATTGTTCATAAATTTACAGGCTAATAGTAAACGATTAGCAATGTAGCACATTCTTGATATTCCATGAAGTTGCCTTAAGTTCTCAAAATAATTCAGGCCATTTTCAAACCCCTGTAATTTTGCTACGTAACAAATTAGAAATCTTATTTAAGAGTTGCCAAGAGGGCATCAATATTATTACTAAATTATGACTAATTTACCAGAAGTTTAAGAATTATTTCATAAGTTTCTTGACTAACTGATTCGCCAATCATAATATTTCTAGCTAGTGGTTCTATAAGCTCCAAATTTTGAAAATTTTGCATATAATAAAGCAAGGAAAATCTGAATTTGAATTTTTAATGTGATTTCCTATACTTATACTTTAGCCAAATTCAGTAAAGAAATTACCAACAAGTATTACCTCAAAAACATAAGATGTATAAAAATGCACAAGACTCACAATAAAAAAATTCTGTGAAAAATCATTGTGAAATCCAATGTAAGTTAGTTAGTAATTACTTTTTATGGGAGGTACTATTGATTGGATAGTTTTCCCCAATGAAAGGTAGATACTGAAAATTTTAAGTGTAAATAATAAATACACACCTGTGTACAAGAATTCCTAAATGTGTTGTGCTTTTTTTATTGACTATCCCTTTTAATGTTGCCCCCACATATGGTCTAAATATGAAATAATCCGCTTGGACTTGAAAGTGTATATCTGCATTATCATTTCTAATAGATCCAACATTTTGCAGTAATCTAAGGTTTTTGTAACTTAACAATATGCCATTAAATCTGCAATAGAACAATATAAACTGATTACATATTTTTCATTAAATTGTGAAACACAAATTTTATACAAATACATGAAAATTAAAAAAAAAAACATGACAAAGAAATGTACTTTTGAAAAGGCAACTCAACACAATGTAAAAAATGAATTATTTTATTTATTTAATGAAGGCTTTTTCTACTTGGTAGCACAAAGTAGAATGGCTTAAAGATATACAAATTTGTAAATGCAGAAACAAAATGTTTAAAGAATGAGTTAATTAATACTATTGTTTGAGGGCAGGTGTGAATGTAAATGATGGAGACACAAATACCGTATATAAAGAAATCACAGTACAAAGTCACACTGATTAAACAATTTAAACAATAAGTTAATGGTATTATTAAAATCTGTATATATATAAATAAAGATAAATTCATATGAAAAGCACAGAAAAAAATGCAAAAATACTAATATGAAAATATTAAAGACGAAACAAAACGTACTCCTTATCAAATTTTCCAACTTTGTAGTCTAAAAGAGATTTCACAGATTCTTTTGGGTTTCCAAGACACCACGGCTGTAACGCTAAATTTTGGGTTACTTTCTTTTCAACGACACAGGAGTTCTTGTCATTTGATAACTTTCTTAGTTCTTTAATATTAAATGAAATTATCGTTGACATTTTGTGTGCATTTAAGATTTGAGCTAAATGAACACGAGTAAAACCAATAAATCGAACAATTAAAGCCCAAAATAAATAAACCAGCTAGGGTAGCTAATCTGAGATTGATTAATCGAATAATCAGTTATTCAATATATCGATATACTGATAGCTTACTATTTGAATCGATATTTCGCATGTAAGCAATACTTGCAAGGAAAAACATTGTAACTATTAACAGATATTTTATAGGTTGATAAAGATTTTAAAAAATCTTAGCAATTTCAATTAAGTCTTAATGCCACCCGAGCTATAATAAATATTCTGAAACAAAATATTTAACACGATGGTTTTTCAAAAATATTTTAAGTTAAAACCCTAATTTGCCATACAAGCTATAATTTTCATAGAAAAAATGTCATACTATTTCGATTTTTGTCATTCGACATGGGCCTCCTTTTAATTTTTCCACTTGTGTCCTAGGATACATTCGTTAGGAATTTTATTGAAAAGTGTTATCGCGTGGTTATCTCTATAAATTTTATTAGTGATATCACTATAGATTTTTCCATTGCCTTCCATGCTACTCGTAGATTTCCAACAAAATTCTTTGTAAGGATAGCAGTTTTCTGCGGTAGCGATGGGTCGTTATATGTTTTTTAAATCACGTAACGCAACTTCTATCGGATCGCCAATCACCGATATCAAAACTGTCTATTTTTTTTAAACTAGTTATTCCCACAACGTTATAAAGTCAAAGCGAATTTTACTCTTATACAAACGCTATTAAGCTAAATTTTGGGTTGGTTAGTTGATTACTCCGAAAGTTGAACTACGTGGAACGTACAAACATATACTTATTTTATTCATACGTATACTGTCTTGGTATTTCTACAATTTTCAGTTGATTAAAAACTCCAAGAAAGCATTAGAACATCTAATGTTTTCCTGTAAAAAAAATCATAATTTGGCTGTATGGGCTGTTAGTACCCTTTGCCTTAAACATTCAATGTTATTGACTAACATTTCAGTGAGTGAACATTAAGAATTTAAACAAAAATAAACACTATGAATAATTGAATAGAGGTGATATTCTATTTATTGCTAAAGATCTGTAACTTACAAAAGTTCTTGTTCATATTGGCACACCAAATTACCAAATATAAGTTTTATTGCTTTGACATATGGCTCATAGCGCCATAACTAATGAAAAGTGACCGAGAATAGACCTAGCTCATATGTTTAAAACGTTTCCTTAACGTACATCGTTCATGAACTACACATCTAGAGCTGCGTCGATCGATCATTTATCGTAACCCGGGTCGATCATAACTCATAAGGCGATCGGGTTAAAATGATTCGATCATCTGTGTCGTAGTTCTTTTATATTATCGACAGAGGAATGCACGGATCAGAATTCATAATTACAGATGCAACTGCTTGCATACAACAAGATTCGATCACGCCACAAAAGAAAGAGACAATATTACTGGTCCCGAACAGTGGCGGACCAATGGAGGGGGGCTCTAAATGTCTGCAGTCATTTATTGTATTATTATGATTTTGGCGGACCAAAATCATAATAATATAATAGGTTATAAATATATGATAAATATAAATATAACGCAATATCAAGCTTCTACCCCATGTCCGAAAAAGTTGTCTCTGATGAGGTTAGTCCTCCACTGGACCCCGGTTAGCGGCGCGAACGATCCTGTACGAACGGGTTTCACTTGGTTTATGTTACGTACTTACTCAAAGGGAGAAAGAGCGAAATAAATGAAGGTAATTAATTGTTTATAAACAAAAGAGATATTTTGCTTGTTTAATTGAAGGTCAAAAGATCGAGACCTTTACTGATTCATGATCCTATCACTCGATTATAGGTTGTAATCGATACAAAATGATTCGATCAATCGCGTTCGACACAGGTCTAACCATGGTCTAACCACGAATGTCAATTTAAACTGGATTGTGCAGTGTTTCATTAAAAACGGGCAGAGTGAGAGAGTAAATTAGTAACTCTTCATCTCTGTCTTAGTAGTTTTGTAGGATGTCCACGCGTTTTTAATAATTTCATAAATAGGTAATATTTAATAATGTTTGCATGACCAAATTTAAACATTTACAGATATAATTTTATAAATTTTTACAGATATTATGAATGATTATGTCAGAAATTTAACCGATAAATTAGTTTTTATTTATCGGTAAAGATATTTATTTTGTAGGAAATAAAACAAGTACATAAATGTTATTATAATCATCTATAATATATAAATCAATTAAAAGGATAGAAATGTTTTTTTTTTCCTATTAATTGTATTAGAATACAACGGATCACTTTGCCTGGTATTATTGTCCTCCATTTTCAGCTAGACTTTTATCCTTTGGGATCCTAGAAACATAAGAGCAATTTTGTCATGGTCAGCATAAGAAAATTATTACTTTATAAATATTTATCCAAACTAATGTGTAGGCCATTCCGATATTTTCCAAAACATAATTAAGCTAGTTCTCGTTTTTCATTTTCCAAATAACTTTGTACCTACCGTGAAAATATTGATAACGAAGAATGGCGGGTAGCGTAAGTAAAACTTATAAATGTTTATAATATAAACGTATGAATATTAATTTAAATCAAAGCCTCTTTGATATGGTTTTGTTTCTTGATCGTAGACACCCTATTTCATCACTGTTTAATAAATAAGGAAAACAGCTTACCTGTGGAATGTGAAGTCACATTCGTGATACCATTCATTTTTGCAATCAGCCAAGCAAAACAATATACCATTTTGATGTAAATAATCGAATTAGTAAGTCAAAACATAAATAAACATTAAACTTTAACATTGTTTATGTTGTCACATCGAGCGGCCATATTAATTTATAATATTGCTACTTAGATGTAACGAAAAACTACTAACACGACATCGGTTTACATTATAATTTTAATTAATTCACACTATTACTTAAAAAACATATCAACTATGTCTATTCAATATATTTACTAATAGATAATAATTAAAATGACCTAGTGATGTCTTTAAAAAATCAATAAAATCTCCTAATTGCCAATAACAATTATTTAATTTTCCAATGGCAACTCGTTAGACAAGGACCTACTACTACAAATCTTATATCTCTAGTAGACCGTTTTTCTACTCTGAAATGTGACATAGAAAAATAAACCTTATTTTATATTAGATAAAGTGTAAGTTTGATTTTAAGAAATATATCAGTACGCAATCCAGTTTAAGTTGACATTCGTGGGTCTAACACATACAATAAAATACTACTCTTTGTACTCACACAGGGTTACCCTGGCAGTGTGACCAATTGTGGCAGATTTCGCTCCTAAATTTTATATGTGGCAGATTATGCTGACGATTTACAAAAGTGACAGGTTTCGGCAGATTTAAAGAATTTGAAGAATATTTACAGTATCTAGTTTGAATTTTAATTAATTTATATTTTTTGAATGTACCTCTATGTTTAATTAATTTGTATAATACGTAATAAATGATTTCATCGAACTGGCAATTTTAGTTTCGTGGCCAGATAATACGGGGATTTCCCACTTACTTTTTTAAAGCAAGTGTGTCAAACGATTATGAACTATAACGAAACTGCTATAGCGTTCATATTCTTATCTTCTTTAATGATTTGATTTCAAAAATTTCAATAAACTTTTCATTTTCGTTAATTCTTGTTTGGTCTTTGGTCTATATCGTGTGCGCTTCTGTCTTGTGTAACGAAATTTTACGAAATGAAAAGAAAATACGAGTGTTGTTATCGACCTGAGTGGGAGCCCTTGCTTTATTCTTGGTTGTCGAGGGCCAAAGATAATCAGGATGTTGCATTCAGGAAAGCTTGCAACTGTAAATTCAAGAGCATCAATCATCTCAGAAACATAAAAAGAATATAATTGGGTACAGCGGCCAATCATCGGTGAGTAATTTAGAATAACTGGTTTCTTTAAAATATACCTTACTTTTCTGATTCTTTGGACATTTTTAGGGTTCCTGAAATGAAAAAACGGAACCATCATAGGATTACTTCACTAGGCCTTCGTCTCATAAACGATAGTTATTAATGACCGTTGATGTTCTATCTCAATTTTTGTATATTCAGCCACACATCAAGTTATACATATCTGCCAAAATTGCTCAATCGATTTTGAACCATATGTGTTTATTACTGAGTTGAGAGTCGAATGAAGAATTTGACAGGTTTGTATGCCGTAATGTGCGGTGTGGGCGGTGTGGCTGTCCACTCTCTAAGGATATACCTCCGGAGTTACAGACTTACAGACTAAAATTTCGTGTTCAGTTAGTCTTTAGCCCAAAAAGAAATTAGTAATTTTAAGATCCAATGCTGCAACCATAGTTCCCTCCTCATGAGGGTTATCCTCAATGGATACAAAACTTCGTATTTATAATGTATTTGCACTGCAAATGATGCTGAAAACAGGATTTTGTACAGGATCCTTGGTGCGCAAGTCCTGCTCGCACTTGGCATATTTATTTGAAATAATTCATTTTATTTAATCTATTTTAGGTTCAACAGTTTTTTAAGAAGATTCTATTAGAAGAGGAAGTGAAAAAAGCGGAACTTAATTTTTGTGCTATGCTAGTGGAACATAATTTACCTTTTCGCTTAATGGACCATTTGAGCGGTGTTATATCAAAAAGATTCCATGATTCTGAAATCGATGCTGTCTGATTTAAAATCGTGTGAAAATATTAAAACACGTCAACCTATGTTTTCGTTAATCGTAGATAAAAGCACGGATGTTACAACCACTTCGATGCTTGCAGTTGTAACCAAATATTATTCTGAAAATCAAAACTAAATTTTTAACTTTGGTTGACCTGAACGGGGCTGATGCGCAGTCATTGTTTGATGCACTTTCCGGGGCTTTGACTAAGGCTAACCTAAACATTAAAGACGCTATTGGTTTTGGGACAGATACCACTAACGTTATGTTTGGGGAACAAGGTGGTATCGTTGCCAAAATAAGACATGTTAACCTACATTGCATGTTTATTAAATGTGTCTGCCTTTCTGCCGCTTTATGTGTATCGCATGCTACCAAAACACATTGCCACGGGCTATCAACCAGATAGTGCAGGAAGTTTACGGATATTTTTCACATAGTAGTAAAAGCCAAAGGGAATTTGTGGAATTCCAAGACTTCATTGGTACTGAGAAACATAAAATACTAAGGCATTATGAAATTCAGTGGCTTTGTTTGCACGCTTGCATAAAGAGAATATTAGAACAATGGGATGCCCTTAAACTTTCTTTTCAATCGTAGTTTTTGGAAGACAGAAACATTTCAGCAGAATTCTTGTGTAATAGTTTAAATGACATGATATACAAACTCTTTTTTTTATGGCCTGGATATAAAGACATTTCCGAAGTGTATATATTACTTTTAAGTTGTTATATGAACGGCAATTATTTGAAAACCACATATCCATTATTAATTGATCCAAAATCCACTGCGAATTTTTTGCCCCTAAAAGATTTGTATTTAGGCATTAATCTGAGCACTGAAGTTAATCGCTTATTTACCGCAGATGTGAGTTTGAACCCTAGAATCCAATCATTCCTTCAAAAAATGCAAGCGTTTTTGATTGAATTATGTACTCAATTAAAGACACGGTTGCCAATGAGTAAAATCTTCAAAGATTTACAGTTTTTGGATCCACAGCATATGGCTTACAAAGAATTTCAGTCAACTTTAAACGTCGCAAAGACTTTTCCTAATATTGTAGACGAAAACGACTTACAAAAAGTTGACGATGAACTACGACAAATCAAATTTGATCGAAGTGTAAGAGACTTATTAGAATCAGGAAGTAGCACCACCAGCACAACTATCAGTGTTGATATATTTTGGGGAGCGATAGGAAAAATCCTGGACGCTAATGAGGAAGTATTTAAAAAAAAAACATTCGTTCCCGAAATCAAACTAGATGTCACTACAGTACTTTCTTGATTTCTCCATGACAACGCTTCCGGTTTTCTTTCATTTGTAAAAGTAAATTAGTTTTCAAAATTCAATAAACAACTCATATTCTATTTGTACATTTTCTTATTTGTTTTGATATGTAAGTTTCGAACTTTGCAAATTTCAGTTTTTTAATATATTAGTTAAAAGGAACGGAAATGACTATCTTTGGTCCATTCCTCCGTTTGGCTCCGTTTCCTGCAAAAATCAACTTTTGCTAGAGTCGCCATCTATTGGAGGTGCTTTTTTAGTGCTTTCTTTTTTTTCTTAAATACTTCCTCATTGAGCGAAAAATACCCACACATTTCTAATTTCGCGAAAGCGTTATTATGTTTGCCGATGTCTAATACTTCGTGCGAAAGAATCTTTTCACAGGTGAATTTAAATAAAACAAAAATAAGGAACAGGTTTCTGAACCAACATGTTTCAGCTTTGATTACAACTAAGGAGGGGATTAAGGAACATGGAGACTGTGTCTTCTTTAAACCGAATGAATTTATGATTAAGAAGATATCAAAATCTATGTACACCGAAAAGAATGAATATTTGGAGGCAAATGCGGATGCGTAGGTAGAGAAAGAAGTAAGGTGTATAAAGTGAAACATTAGTTGATTAAATTTTATTGAATACATTCTGCATTTTTTTTTGTTTTCATGAAGACATATTTTTGCCATATTTGGTACTGAATGTGGCAGATTTTTGCCTGACCTGTGGCAGATTTGCCATTTTTAAGATGGTCACACTGTACCCTGGTTCACTGGTGGTGCATTGCTTGTTGTTTGTTTTCAGAATTTATGCATATTACCAGATACTTTAAAATAAAATGAATTTCAATTCGCGGTTTTTGAATAAAAAATTGTGCAATTATCATTTTCGTAATTGTATAAGGTGCCTAAATTATAACCTCTACTTTTACTATTTTATTGATATTTACGTGATTTATTTGGTACATAGTAATTCTTAATATTGTTTGCGTTCTTTTATTAGGTGGTTTGTAGTGCAAAACAGGCTTTATGCGAAAGCTACAAGCTTTCCCGATTTTTTTCAAAATCCAATATTTAGAAAAGAAGACCAAGCTAAGTTGATTGAAAATTCTGAATTGGCGAAACTTGCGGCTGTTCCTGTAAGACCACCAGCCTCATATGAGACTTGCTCGGTATACCATGACCCTCTTGTGAAGTAAGTTTACGCATTGTGTAAAATTTATTAAATTAGATTCCTATTATAAAGCTATACAATAATCGTTTTCTTATTCTAGTAAAGTTATCAATCATGTGATGGAAATGGGCAAGAAACAATTAGCTCGCAGTCTTGTTGAAAAGGCTTTTGAAAATATAAAAAGGATACAGATAGAACGTTATCATTTAGCACAAACTCAAGAAGAAAAGAATAAAATAGAACTGAATCCAAAGTCAATTTTGTATAATGCAGTTGAAAATTGTAAGCCATTGTTGCAACTTTCTCCTATCAAGAGGGGTGGCATAACATATCAGGTAATATTAAAAGTAAATACAACTTGTGTCTCTATTGAGGTGACCAAATATTTAAACAAGGCAATTCTGACAGTTGGGAGTAATTGAATTGGGAGTAATTCCTGATAAATATTTTCATGGACATCCCGCCACAGATATTACAGCCTTTTTGGGGATGGGTCTTTGTTACTGGTTGTCCTTTTTTTTTATTCAAACAACAAAGCCCGCAATCAAATGTGAGTGAACAATTATTTTTTCATCCACATACCCAGCACAAAATAATACAGAAAAGATAATTTTCTATATTGACCCAACTGGGATTGAACCCATGCTCTTAGATGGTGTCACCTTGAAACCAGTGTGAGAGCCACTTGCTTATGAAAGTTGTTTATGTTTGAAACCAGGGTAAGAGCCACATGCCTATGAAAATTGTTTGTGCCTGTGAAAATTGTTTACTTGCCTAAGAAAGTTGTTTATGTTTATATTGCCTACCCTTGGTGGCAAGCTAAATGCCCTGAATATAGTTTATCAATAAATTACATGTTCAGTGACATTATGTGTGACTCATAACATTAATGAAATGGTGTATTGATCCTTATCACTGATTTTTAAGTTGCTTGCTGATAAGCACAACAAAATACTTGTTCCATCAGTTGATTTAAAGAAAACATCAACACCTTACATTCTGTTTTTCTTTCACTTAATAAATACAATTTTTTTTTTTTATTTCATAGGTACCTGGACCTATCACTGAGAAAAGGTCTCTCTTTTTGTCTATTAAGTGGTTGTTGGAAGCTACTAATGATAAGGAAAGGACTGTTCATTTTCCTGAACAATTTGCATGGGAACTGTTAGATGCTGCAAATAATACAGGAAAAGTAGTAAAAAGAAAACAAGATTTACATCGCCAGTGTGAAGCAAACAGAGCTTATGCACATTATCGATGGCAGTAACTACTCCTGTTACACCACTGCATACTGTGTATATCTGAACAATGACATGTGAATTATTTTTCTTTATAATGTTAAACAATGTACTTTGCTTATAAAATTAATTAATTAAATAAACTAGTTATGTTATACTTTCCGCCTATCAATAGAATATTCTTATTAAAGATAAGGTCTTTCTTTATTATATTATATAAGACTGCTTCAGTAATCACTTGTATGCAAACGATCCATTAACTGAAACGGTGGGCCCACTCTTGTTTATCTATTAATTTCTTTATCAAATGCAACTATCTTATCTTCAAGATCCTTAAAACAAAGAATCGTGTCCAATTTAGATATATCTCAAAATTAGTTATTTTTACTTATTTCATATCAGGAAATTCAATCTTAAAATAGAGCCAGGATAAAAATTGCGAAGTTTATTATTAGTTTTAAATAGTATTAAGAAAACTATCCGAATGTGATTCGGACCCTAAAATGACGGTTTGCTATACTACCTCAACATGCAAGATTTGTCGTTAAATGCTATACTACAACAACATCTATGACAACATGCAAGATTGTCGCAATTGATTATTAAGGTTGAAATTAAGTGCACAAATTTGACAGATTTGTATAACCCGAAGTGCTGTTACTTGACTGTATACAATTCCTGCCAAAGTAACAGTTAACCCTCCCTTTTTCGTCGCCATAATCTAGTGAACAAAGGTAAGACTTATCATCCTTGTTTGGTATTATATTAAGTCAACATAAGTGTGCCCCTACCAATAACCAGCAGTATTTAATGCTCAAATATGTTATCGTAATGCTATCCTATCTACTGATAATAAAGGTTATTGTATAAAAGATATAATAATTTAGTCTGAGTCAGACATTTGCAAAGATACAGCATTGATAGTGTGTAGTGAGTGAGGTGTTTACAACAACTAGGAACCCGAAACAGCAGGCGAGAAAAACATCTGCCTGTGCTGTCGTAAGTTATGTCGTTTGATTATGAATTGTTTTGATTGAAATTCCGAAAATGACATTAAACAAGCATTAAGTTTATCCTATTTAATCAAATGTTTTATTTGTTTTTTAATATGAAAAGTCTGTTTATTTGTCAACTTCAGTCTTTTTCATCAAACAGTTGATTAAAAATAATTTGGTGGCAATTCGTTATTTTCGGAATATCCCTGTTTTTCCCAAAGCACGAGGATGAATTAAAAAAAAACATTAGTTCCCGAAATCAAACTAAATTTCGCTACGGTACGTTCTTGATTTTTCCATGACAACCCTTCCGGTTTTCTTTCATGTTTGAAACAATGATGTCAGACGTACCAACTTCTTGGTATACTTACTAGTTTTTAGTGTCACGTACCATGTACCAAGACTACTCAGTCATTGTATGCAAAAATACCAAGATTGGCCGTTGACCGACAAAATTACACTGACAACATAGAATAATCGACAAATCTCAGAGATGCATGTAAAAAACATTCCAATCAGATTTCCTTAATGTCATAAAACTTTATTATATCAAACTGACTCGATGAGCACTTACCTACCATTTTCCGCTGTTATTTTCTCAATATGTTAGATAGCGTAATGGTAACGCGTTGCGCTCACATTCACGGGGCCCCGGGTTCGATTCCTGCACGGGGATTTTTTTTTGCGCCCTAAACTTCATTGTAAATCTTCGTTACAAATCATTTATTTATTTTTTTGAATATATTTTGCATATTACGAGGGTCAAACTGAAAGTTCTTAGAACTGGCCACTTATAAACAATATAATAAAAAAATAATTCTAAAATTTGAAAATATAACTCTTTGCCAATATTACTGAGTATATATTTCATTCATTTGTCATTTGTTTTACGATTTGGCGGCAAATTGAAAATTGTCTGTGTCACGTCATCATGAATTTAACACGAGAAAATTTTCGTGCAATGATTTTTTATGACTTTCGATGTCATTTAAGTCAACAAGAAAGTTATGATAGACTACGATTGGCCTTTCACGATGAAGCCCCATCTCGTGCGACTGTTTACAACTGGTTTAATGAGTTTAAACGTGGTCGCACTAATCTCACTGATGATTTACGTGAGGGACGGCCTTCTACGGCGACGACTGAAGATAACATCTGTGTTGTGCGGCGTATGATAGAGACTGACAAAAGAGTGACCTATCAACAGATTCGGACAAGCTTAGGCATCGGTATGAGTCAAGTGCACAAAATCCTCGACGAACATTTAGCGGTCAGGAAGCTTTGCGCCCGGTGGATACCTCATAATTTGACTGAGGCTCAAAAACTCCATCGTGTGGATTGGTGTCGTAAAATGATTGAAAGATTTAACGGAGGTGACTCAAATGCTGTGTTCGACATACTAACAGGTGACGAAAGCTGGATTTACTGTTATGATCCTAAAACCAAAAGACAATCTGCTCAGTGGGTGTTTCCTTTCGAGGAGTTGCCAACTAAAGTGAAGAGAGATCGAAGTGCGGGAAAAAAAATGGTGGCCTCGTTCTTTGGAAGGATAGGTCATTTTGCAACAATTGTGTTAGAGGATCAAAAAACAGTTTCTGCAGAATGGTACACTACCAATTGTTTGCCACTTGTCTTGGAAAAAGTTCGAGAGAAACGACCTCGCAGTAGGATCCTCCTTCACCACGACAACGCCTCGTCGCACACCGCCAAGCGAACGATCGACTATTTGGCGACATCAAACGTTGAATTACTGGGTCACCCGCCGTATAGCCCCGACCTCGCGCCTTGTGATTTTTATTTATTTCCAAAAATTAAAGAAAAACTTAAAGGAAAGCGGTTTATGAATGCTGAAGAAGCGGTGGCTGCGTATCGCGATGCCATTGAAGAGACCCCTAAGGACGAGTGGGCAAAGTGCTTTTCCCAGTGGTTCCATCGCATGCAGCGGTGTATTGACGTGAATGGACAATATTTTGAAAAGATATAATAAAACTAATAACTGGCTAATGTAATCAGTTTTTGATTTTCTAAGAACTTTCAGTTTGACCCTCGTATATCCGAAATGCAATATAATATAAAAAAAAATGTTAAAAGTGATATTTCTTCCGTGTGTTCGATAATTACTGCCCTCTATTAACGGTATACGAAATTGAAATGTGCATTTTTTTACTGAGATGCAATTTCCCACACAGTTTGTCTCCCAGAATTGGCAGCGCCAGAGCGGAGCACAGGCGAATAACAGCTTTCAGCCAGCTCGGCACAAGGATTTCTAAGTGGCCGTCTAACATCCCTGGTTTGAAAGTAAATTAGTTTTCAAAACTTAATAAATAACACATATTCTATCTGCACTTTTTCCTATTTGTATCTATAACATATTACTTGTATAAATATATTTTTATTTCATTTCATTATTGATATCTAAGTTTCGAACTTTCAAATCTCAGTTTTTTAATATGTTAGTTGAAAGTTCGTAAATGATTGTCTTTGGTCCATTCGTTTGCTGCAAAAATCAACTTTTGCTAGAGTTGCCATCTAGTTGAGGTGCTTTTTTAGTACTTTCTTTTTTTTATAAATACTTAATCATTTAAAATAACTTTGAAAATCGCCCGCTGTAGGCATTCACCTGTAGCGCAGTCCAATCACCGATAAATGGCAGTCCATCCATTTCGAAGCAGTGGTAGGTCCTACAAAGGGCCACCTGGCTCGCGACCCCCCTCTCGCCGGAGTTTGGCGCCAAACAGTTTACTGCGTTCAGTCGATGAGCAAGAGTGCCAGTGCCTTTGGGGGGCATGAGGAGGGTTTGCTACAATGCTTTAGTTCAGTCTTGACTTTTGAGCAAAACTGAACCGAATAACTCATTCTGGAGGGTAGAGGGATCCGAAACACGGTCTCAGCCGTTAGCCGACCGCAGGTAGTAGGGGGCCCAAGTAGCGCACCAGCCACGCCCCAAAGGCTGCCCCGTCAACTTGCGAAAAATCCCGAAATGCTCCACCGTGCCAGTTGGCGACTGGATGGAAGGAGTTGATGGCCATTTCGGGGGGGTTCGGGCGTCCCCGCGGTCTCCAGATGAGTTCTCCATTGGTCGGTAAAGCTCTTGGTCATTGTAAATGACTGAGTGGAGCCTGGACCTTTCTCTGCTCACCATCTCACTCTACCGAAACATGAAGGTTAAAAAAAAGAAAAAGGTTTTCCAACGGCTGCACTTCCTGCCATTGAAAGTGCACCTCAATAATATTCGGGGATTGCACTCCAATCTCGACCCGGTCCACCACCATTTTGAGAATGAGAAGCCAAACATGCTCTTTTTAACGGAGCCGCAGATACCTCAACTCCCGGGCTACTCTCTTAAACATAAATTCAGGAAGAAGGCTGGGGTCTGCGTGTATGTATAGGACATTTGCTGTAGGCGACTTCTCTGTTTTGAAAATTCTTCTGAGAAGCTCGGGGAGGCACTTGTAGTTTCTCGACATCTCGAAGGCTTTCGATAGGGTTTGGCATTCAATTTTGCTGAGCAAGCTTCCAGCGTATGGAATCCCTGCTGGTTTTTGCTACTGGATATCTGACTTGATCGAAGGAGTGGAACTCCCTGCCGGTGCCTATATTCCCGAGTGCATATAAACCAAACCTATTTAAGGCAAGAGTGAATAGGTTCCTTCTGGGCAGGCTCGTCTCACCGTAGATCTCATTTATGTCCTCAGGCTAGATTGAGGTTAAGAGTCAGCCCATTGTAAATAAATAAATAAAAAAACAATATCCAAGTAAGTATATTATTAAAATTGACGGAAAAGCTCGCTTTTAACGTTTTAGTTAAAGGCGAACTTTATTATTCAATAAAATAAGTACACAAAACTGACACTCATCGCTATGTGCGAAACACAGTACGCGCGAAATTAATGGTGAGAAGAGAAACTTCACACTGGTCAACCTTTCGCAGTAAGTTAAGTGGCAAAAATGTGTCTACTAATTTGGGAACATTTTACCTATTATTATCAAAATTATTTTGTCAAATGAATGGAAATCGTTACATATTTCTTTAACAGAGTTATGTATGTTGTGTCGTGATTTGCAAAAATAATGGAAATAAAAGTTGATGTGACTTAGTATAGGCATATTTCCTAGAGTGCCTTGGACATAGAATTAAAGAAATAAATTATATTTCGTTAT